TCGGCAAATCTAAAAGCATTAGATCGGCTGCATGCAGCTTTGAGGCCCCACCAGCAAGCGCTGGGCCTCCTGCAAAAGGAGTGCTGACAGCTGACGGAACTTTGCAAACTCGCCTGCGCGGTGCCTCAACGTACGCTACGTAGCCCACACACAGCCCCACCGACAAGATGCTTATGTCTTATGCCAGGTCTTCTCTGTGCTAGCACTGCGCATCTCATCCAAAGATTCGCACTGTGCCATGGGGTTTCCGCACTTTCGCCTGACTGTGTTCCCATGATTTCGTTTCAGGCTGTGCGGGAGATTTATGCTGTCGCTGACTGCGGGTTGGTGTTCACTGGTACAACATATCTTCCGTCTGCCTACCTCGCAGCTGCGTCCACTCCATCTCTACCTGGCTTTTTCATAGTACGGCCAGTGCATTTGACACAGTAATAAGGGTGTTTGGGAGCATATTCTTTGCATGAACTTGCTGAAAACGTTCAAGCCAAGCCTTGTCTGCCCCACAGCATCATGCAAATTCGCCAAGGTTGTCATCATTACGCCGCACAGCGTCGCCATCAGAAAGTTGTGATTCCGCTTCTCCTTCTACAGTCCCATTCACAAGGCATCCTTCCCTTCCTTTAACCTTCTTGGCGTATATGGTGTCATGCTAGCAATTGCATGGCAATACGGGATTCGCCACCACGTGTCTTGTTCTTGGAGGCCTGTTGCTGCCAGAGACCTTACGCCCACTCCTGCGGATAAATTCAACAGCACAACGAGATCCCTGAAGCCAGGGCCTGTACAGCACCTTCTAAACCCGACGCCATATACACACAGTACTTGCAGACGTATAGGCATCTACTTATAGCAACATAAATACACATAATCACATATATAAATGTATATATGTGTGCGTGTGTGTGTGTGTGTCACGAGTATGCACTGCAGGTGATATATACATTCATTCAATCAACCTGCGCATGCCATGCACACAATCTTCGTTGCCTTCCTTTCACTTCATTTCATTTGTTTCAATCAGTTGTTCATTCATCCACTCATCTATTCCATTCCAGATCATTTCATGCAACTCCGCCCCACTCCACTCAGTTGTTCTGTCGTTCCATGAGTCCTTCCTTCCTGCCTTCCTTCCTGCCTTCCTTCCTTCTTTGCTTCCTTGATTGATTCCTTCGTTCATACCCTTCCATTCCATCATATTCATGTTTTGCATTTTGCATTTCATTTTGTGGCATCTCACCTCATCCCATTTTTCACTTACCTACTCAATCATTCGTTCGCTCATTTCATTTATCCATTCATTCGTCTCAACCCAACTCATTAAATTCACCTCGTCTCATTGCATATCTACTTGTGAGATCGTGACCACAAACGTTCCCGAGCCAGCACCGACCAGCGAGGCAGGACAAATGGAAGGAAAGGAAACAAGTGCACGGAACAACGTGCTGCCCTGAGACTGCGGGGATGCTCGAAGTGTTGATGTGTGTGTATATATATATATGTGTGTGTGTGTGCGTATGTATGTATGTCTGTATTTAGCAGAAATGATACAGTAGCAGCATTCTCTGATATAATATGACAACAGAATAGATACAGCATGGTATCACAGAACATGGTAACCCATTAGAATGTAAGCTAGTAGCTTAGAAAAGCTATACGGCCTCCTGTTCTGGTATGCTTTATTCTAACGATAATGTAGAGTTAATAAACTAATGTACAATAATATAAGTACGTATGTATCTATACATAAATAGAATGTATATATATATATATGCATTAAATGCACTACATATGCATATACACATACAAGTGTGCGCGTGTGTCTATATATCAGCACATATGTACAAACACACATAAGTGTGTGTGTGTGTGTGCGGGTGTCTATATAACAATGTATGCATACATATAGATATACATACAAACAAATGCACATCATCACCATTGACAGCACATTGTGCAGCGGCAGCCTTGGATGCCTGCCGCTTGGCCTTGCGTTCAACAGCATCTGCCAAATCTGCGCAGTCCTTACCGAACAGGCTCGTGGGGTCTCGAGGCTTGCAGTAGGTAGGCCCCGTTGCGACGGGTTTGCTTTGCGAAGCAGGCAGGATACGGCCTTTGTCCTCTTGCGTTGTAATGTGCAATGGTTGCCATGCAGGTTGTTGAAGTACAGGCTGCCTACCTCTCCAGCTACGGTTGCTTTGGCTGACTCCGTTTCCCTCCCTCTCCCTCCACTCCCCGACATCAGTGCAGAACTAAACATGGACAGTGACAGCCCGGTTCCACTTACCTTGTGCAAATGCCGACCCAAGCCCAAACACCACGGGTCAACGAGAAACAACAAAACATGGCAGGGCGACCAGTGGACTCACGACCGTACGCGAGACACCAAGCAGAGCACAATAGCCAAAACGCCGACTAGCACTTTTCGGCCGACAGCTGCCCCAACTGCAAGAGGGTTTGTGTGTGTGTCTGTGCGTGTGGGTGGGTGTGTGTGTGTGTGTTTGTGTGTGTGTCTCTGTGTGTGTGTGCGTTTGTGAAGGTTCCGTTCCTGTCTGTGGCCAGGGCCCACGTGCCACCCCGCTACTTGACCAAAATGAAATTCCACTTAGACGGTTATTAGGCGTTAGTACAGGCTCTACAGACTCGGCAAGCTGAAATGGTGTGATTTCGGGCTTGTCGCAAAGATCGCAACGTACATCTTGCTCGGGGAAAGTGTACACTATGGTCTTGTTCTTACTCATCGTCAAACTCTGTGCAATGTGCGCTACTTTCAATTCGCCACCAAACCTGCATATGGACATAGAAATGTGGAAACAAATCGTGCAATGCTTGCATCCACAGCTCATGCTTGTGCTTCTTCCAATGCGCCCGCTGGCACGATCGACTGCAGTAAACGACCTTGGATGAATCCCGAAGGAGAATGGGGAGGCAGTGTTCGAGGATCCTTTCCAATCTCTCAATGTGAAGTAACCTGCCCGCACATGCTCTGGAAGCTTTAGCACTGATCTCGTCGCTCAGCGGTTCTGTTTTCAGCCAGAAACATTGTTAGTGAATGGAATGTCTCGACATGCCTCACCTAGTATACATAAGCCTGCATGGCCCAGCATCTTCATTTTCGAGTCCCTTGCAGGATCTTTTCGGCCTCCGGTGCAAGTTTGACTTTGGGCGAGATGCTCCCCTGTGCCTCTCAGATCGCGCTGAACTCCCGGGGGCCACAATCCTAAAGCCGGTGGCTCACATTCCTGCCGCACCTATCCCGCGCTTCTGTTCCGCCTCTCCGATTCATTGGAATGAAGGAGCCGGTACGCCGCACCGAGCACTTCTCCACGAAATGATCCGGACTCTTAGAGTGCAGATCAACACATGCAGCTACTTACTAGCCCATCTCGCAGCATTGCAAGAGCCAGAGCAGTCCCGAAAACGCATTGATCCTCCATCGAGTTGCACATCGGCATCGGGCGCAAGTCCTCGGCTAGAGAGGATTGGGTCAAGGGTTTCCAGTCTCGGCAATAGAGGGAGGTGCGTGCCATCCGACTGAATTGACTCCCACCGAAATTCTGAAGCCGGATCAATCGATTTGAGGCCTTGCTGGGGCATCTTCGTCTAGACTCCAGACTCTCACAGCTCGTCGTAGCGGCCATGTGAAGTCAAGGCGCCCGCTGGAAGAAGCCGAGTTCACACCAGCATAACCCCCCAAAGACATAGGCTCCAGGAGTCAGTTGGCCACGATAGGTTGTCTGTTAAATGGCGAAACACGAGAGTTTGCTTCTGCTCTGCTCGACCCGCCAAGGCATTCCAAGCTGGCCGAAACTAGGCTAAGCCATCTGAGTACGGTATGGCCCCGCAGCAATTTTACAGAACATGACCTAATTAGGAGACATGCACGCTGGGCACTGAACTGCAACCATGATAGCATTTATGCACTTTTTGCACTTGAAGAAGTAGTGGCCGTGTTCCTTCCGCTTCAACATAACCCCGACCGGTGCACCCAGCGCTTCCACTTTACACTAAAGCTCGTAGGTCCCAAGATCGAGACAATCTCAAATACCTAGACTGCATGTTTGACAAGTCGAGGCTCAAATCGGCTTCCTCGGTTCGGCCGCACACAGCACAGCACGTCAGCCGGCCCATGAGACTGCTTGGGGGTGATTGAATGTGCTCGTGCGTCTGTAGCCCTGGGTCTGGGGAGCTTAGACAATTGGCGGTTATTTCATGGCTGCAGGGTTGCAATGCAAGACTCAGAAGCGTCCATTGAAGAAACATACTCGGAGAGTCTCTGTGCACAGGTGCATCAGACATCATTGGAGTTTCGGGTTCGGGAAGCGCTCAGGGCTCAAGGCTGAGAGTATGGTGGTGGTGCTGCTGCTGCAAAAGGGCTGCTCAACAAAGGTTGCGGCACAAAGTAGGATGATTCGGATTGGTGCTTGTACGCACTGCACATCCTGGCGGATGTCCTGCTTGCCTCCTAGGTCAAGGAACGTCGTCGAGTCTTACCAATCAACGCCCGCCCGACGTGCAAAGCAGGATGGTGTATGACTGAATCATACTAGTCACACGGCAAAATTTGCACGAGAGGGCAAGGCTTAATGCCTTTCCGCACAGTTTACATGCAAAGAAGACACCCGAAAATAGTCGGAACATGCTTCCTGAGAAAACCTAGTCATGTCAGCTCATGATGTCATCACAGCCGAGGAAGCCTGAAGTCTTCGACCAGATACTATATGCAATATGAGCTCAAGCCCGTCTTAGCTGTTGTTCTGATCTCCTCACAATGATGGAAGACCTTGAAAATTACGTAAGATGACACAGGCCTAGCCTAGCTTCTGCTAGATTGTCTGTTTGGCTCCGACGACGATGGCCACAGGCTGACCATGAAATCTTGAATACGTACAGGCGCTGTTCCAGGCTATACCATCTACATTATTTCCTGGAAGTGCTGTTCTGCTCGCTTCGGTTTGCTTCAGACAACTTCAGAGGCAAACTCCCCAAACTGGCTGCCCGACGGTTCTCGCAAACCTCTGACAAGGGATTCGTGAGCGTGCTGCAGCGACGGAAGATGCAGAACTGGTCCGGAGAGTGGCAATTCCACTACAGCTCTCGCGGTTAGAGTGAATAGCTGGGAGGTGCCAGTGAAGCTTGAAGTCGGCCATCTGAAAGCCCTCTAGTCCTAGGCACGCAACTTTGACCTCAGTTGCCTCCTCAACCGACACGCTTTGCATGCGCAGAGAACTGGCTGCACTCATTCGCACTGCAACTCTGAAAGCCAACTGTTAACTCTTCTAGGTCTCAGCAGGACGCGCCCAATCTCATTCTCTTGGCATGCACAAAGGTTACACCCGTCCCCCTTTCAAACAAAACAAGCAAACAACTGCGCACTGTGTGACCTTCTGCCAAGGCATAATGTGGTGCGGCCGCGTATTCGAAACGTGGATCCACTTGCCCTTGTGCCTGGCTGCATGGCTTAGGATTGAGATTTTTGATATGTTATAATAAGTATTTCTGTAAGCGGCTCTGCATAGCACGGGACACCTGACATATCCTGACAGCAAACGCATTTATACTCGACAGGCAGGGAAAGCCGCTTGTGCAGTTGTGCTATTGATTAAATTTTTGTCTATATACGTGTGTGTGTGTGTATGCGTGTCTACCCCTTGGCGGCGATCTCTGGAGTGATGACTCATGTGGACTGACTGAAAAATGCAAGCACAACTTAATTAGGCTGAAGCCCCAGTGTCATCCTCTCGGGATCCGCCATGCTCTTGTTCAGTTTCGGGCTAATCAGTAGTCTTCATTTTGGCCTGCTGTGTGCCCAGGAGCCTTGATTTTGAAGCAAAGGAAAACGAGCGAGGCCACACTTGTCTATAAAGTTCAGGTGGATCTCGAAGCGATCTTTGCTTGCTGCGTGTCGGGCTGCTCAGCTCAATCCATGCAAGAACGAGTGATTCTTGCTAAGTCGAGTTTGCATGTTGATCGGGGCGCAGGCCGGCACAATGTGTTTCGGCTTAATCTGCGACGATCTGCGGCTGGTACATGAATGAATGTAGATCGACACCTGTATGACTGTAAACAAAATGTTTGCTCACCGATCTCCTGCATGCAACCAACCAACCAACCAACCAACTACCAGGACGACTACAAAGCCTCCCCAGGCCTGAGGCAGACATGTCCGAAGTCTTGATGCCTCGGTCATGGTGCGGGAAGAGCTCTAACAAAACGTGAGCTCCGAGTCGGCGAAGCTCACACTTCGCAGACGACGCTCTTAGCCTCAAACCACTCGTGCAGCAGCATGTCCTTGATTAAAAGTGCAGCCTGGACACGTCATGCTGTCCTGCGACTGATTTGGATTTGTCTTGGGTCGTGACAACTGCACTCGTAACATGCGCAGTCAAAACACACATCGACACACCGGAAGCGTACACTGCATGAGTACATGTGAGTGGTGGCCCAAGTCGCGAATCCACGGTCGATACTCGGAATAAGTCGCTCGTGGGAGAGGCTTCTGGAAATAGCCACTGGGGGCAACAATTGAAATGCGAAAATGTCGCAACGAGTGCTGGTTGGGGTGGTGTCAAGACGGACTCTTTGGAAACGTGTCAATGGGTCTGTCCCGGCAACACATGAAAGCAACAAAGACTTGTGAAAAAACTTTTTTGAACACGGGCCGTCCAAGTTTCATGGGTTCGTGTTGCTCCAACATCCCGACATTACTGAAACCTTCCTGGTCAAATGGTTTGATGTTGAAGCGCATGACTGCTACGGCTTCTGCGTTCAAGAGTTGTCAGAAAGCAACACGCCAAACGCAATAAATCGAACGATGTCAGCGTGAGCTTCCGGAATTTGCACGGAGGTCTTGGGCACAAAGAACACAGAGTGTGCATCTTGCTCGTGCAAGAAATGTGGGTTGACTGGGGGTTGAGGTTCGAATGGGGGACATGCATCACCATGCATATAAACACATGCGAAATCCAAGGTCGCTCAGCCTTCCTTTCTTAGTCTGCATCTTCGATGAGGTGTTTAAGGTTCTCAGGTGCGGTCTGCAGGTCAGGGGATTCTGGGAATTCTTTCCCGCGCGGTCTGTTGCAACTTGCCCAGGGACCTTCCCCGTGCTCTGGTTGCGTCCTGACCCTCTGCTGTTCGCTGCTCCGACTGGTCCACGACTCCATCTTCAGGAATCCTGGATGCAGGATGATGGTGCTCTTGAAACGGATCCCGCAGGCGCGTGATTCTCGGAACCTGAAGTTACCGCCACTCGTGCTCTGGATGTGGAAGCCAGAGACGCGCCTATGCGACAAATCCCCAGCATATCATGTTGCGAGGTTTCATCCTTAGATCTATCGGAATCTATCATTACATGCCAATGTTCCTTCTTGGTTAACACAGAGAACCTGTTTGTTTCAGCGTAAGTTCTTCATGAGAAGACTCAAAACTGTTGCGCAGTTACAAAACCTCTTCCTCCCTCCATTTCACTCACTGACTGTCTGAGTCTATGCGACATGTTCAACTGATCGCATGCTCTCAGCTGAGCTGTCGGACGTCCGCCTGGCCCACGGGTGACCCTGCACCAGCTCGAGCCCAAACGGCGCCAGCTGAGCATGTTGAATCGCAGTATTTACCGTCAAGCCGCGAGGCCACGCTCATGGCTCTGAGGTCACTTGGGCGCGGAATCAACTCACATGGATCGTCTGCTTTACAACGAGCACTGGAGCACCTCAACGAAGCAGTGTGGGCATTGTTTTGTGCTCTTTGAACTTACCCTTGGCATGGCCACATTCTCTGTGCAAACATGCATGCATGCGAGGCCCAGGCAAGATGGCAGGATAATGCATCATGAACAACAAAATAATCCAATTCATAGGTTTGTCTCTTTCCAGACTTCCGTGCAAAAGGGTGTTTCACAGGAGGCCAATCGAGGCAGAAGCAATGCTGGCTACCCGTGCTACCAGCTAGTACGTCCTGCTGTGTGACCTCCGAACGAAGGCCCTGATGACACATCACTTGCACATTGTGTATGTGTATATACGTACACAAAAAATATATATTATATATATACACATGTGTATATACATTTATATGTGTGTATATATGTACATACGGTTACATCCGTATGTATTGGCAGTTAGACAGACAGATAGGTAGATAGGTCCGGGCACTTCTGTTCTGCAACATCCCAGTTGCCTACAATTGCATTCGAGGGGAGAGGTCGACCGCCAAGCAAAAACCAGGAACCGTGGCAAGCGCCTTTCTGGATCGTAAGCGTGCGAGCGTGTGTGCAGGCGACAGAAGCTGGCTGCCGTTCTGATGCCCTGGGATGGACCGGTGCTTCTCAAAAAAAAGCTGGAAACTGGCTTCTTGAAAAGCGGGAACCTCAAAAGGGAACCCCTGACTTTGAGAAGCCGCCAAATCAACCAGAATGAGTATCCTGGGACAGCGCAGGCTGTGCGAGGCCTAATAATCATCACCCTCTGTCTTCTCCCTGGCCGGGGCGGATCGAAAACTCCCATCTCGGTAGGGCCAATGGCCGTTACCTATGTGGCCATTATCCAGCCAGTACCCGTAGTTGCAAGCAATTCAGTGACGCGAGCGCATGTAGCCCCTGGGGTCCATGTTCCGAGTTTTGACGGCGTTTACTGATACAATCTGCAATCCAGGCGGTGGTCCCTGGCCTCTCTGACCCTGGGCCTTCAGGAGCGAATTTGTACAGACCGCCGCGGGCCCAGAGACGCAGAGCTTGAAAGTCGAAAGCTTCGGTACGGATCTGTTCCATTCTGGATGAGCTTGAGTCTTGCAGTTTCTACGTCCAAATCAGTAATTACCAGTGGATCCGCGTGGCTGCTTGGAGACGCGGCAATTACACGATAAGCTTGCTTGTCTTATCAATTGTTCCATCTTGGCCTCACTGCACGTCGGCTTTTGCGCTGCGCCGCTGCTCATGGATCACATAAGGACTGTTGAGAAAGCAGGGGCTACACTAAACTCCACATCAAGATCCTGACTCACCTGATTGAACGACATCTTGAACCCAAGCTGGTCCAACAACAACCCCGAGCCGAAGCCTAAGGCAGCATTAGCTGACGTAGCCTTTCGAGATTCTAGAATGCAGAAGCCGATGTGCTGTGTAGTCATAGTCATAGTCTTATTAACCTTCAAGGAATAATGTGGTCCGCGCCGAAGCCCTGCAAAGCTCCGAGGTAAACGGCCCAAGACAGCTGCTGGGGCGGTCCCGAGCCGTCGAACTCTGGTGCACGCACTTCCAAGACAAATCAGGTAACCACAAGCATGCGACCCACAACGTCATACGGGTAGCAAGAGATTGGTGATACCGTAATCCCCATTACCGATCGGGTCCCGAGCCATCGGATGCCCATTGCTCGGGATGTGACCTACTGTCTTCCCGCGTTGCTTCAGACGGCAGTGCTCCTTGGGAGCATCATGTCCGAGGGCAATGCAGAGCAAGCTGGTGCATAAACGCGCTAACAGTGCAGGAATGAGCAAAACAACGATCGACCGCGCCTAGGTCTGTTTCGACAGCTCTAACATTCACGAACGGAGCCGGAACAATAACAATAACCAACAACAACAACAACAAAAACAACAGCAACAGCAACAGCAACAGCAACAGCAACAGCAACAGCAACAGCAACAGCAACAACTCACAACAACATCCAACCCCCAACACCAACAACAACAACAACTACTACAACGACAGCAACAGCAACAGCACCAACACCACTACCAACACCAACACCACCAACGACAGCAGCAACAACTCTAAAGAGAGCCATGGCAAGAACAAGAACAATAACAAGACCACCACCACCAACATTAACAACACCGCCACCACCACAAACAACAACAACAACAACAACAACAACAACAACAACAACAACAACACCAACACCACTGCCACTACCAACACCACCACCACCAACAAGAACAATAACCACAACAACTCTAGCGACTTCAGCGCTAGGAATGAGAATAACAAGAACAATCAAGGACCACC